GAAATAGCATACACATTTTCTCAAGGGTGCGACCTGTCTGATTTGGACGCATCTACAGATTTTTTTACATTTTTATTATCTTACGTCTGAGGACATACCACAATATTGAACTCCTCGATACTCACGTATCACACTGGATATAAAAATGTGTCAAGTACAAACTTAATATTCCAGTAATTTTATTTGAGTAATATGTTGTAGGTATTGTGTGTCTTAATGCAGGAAAAAAAGGACGTTAACACAAAAGACAAAATTCACAGCGCAGTTCCGCGACCAGACTTATTGTGCAAAGTGATCAAATTTTAGTAAGCATACACCGTCATGACTTGTATAATCCAGTCGAGTTTCTTTGTTGTCAAGGCAAATACGTTGTATCCACCGGTGCAATTATTATCACCGTAAGAACTTACGCCGTAGACAACCCATTTGGATCCGTTCTGAGTGAAACAATGCAAACCCCCTCCGCTGTCACCGTTGCATGGTGTCTGAAAAAAAGAGGAAGAATATAAAAGGAGAGAGGAACAAAACAGTTAAGTTTACAAGTTCGTTGGATTTCTGTTCCCTAGAGGTTAATACTCACTCCATGTGAGCCGGCCGTACAGAAATCCAGGTGTTGGTTCACAAAGGGAAATTCCTTTTTGCATTCGGACAGCGATGCGATTGGAATCTGTAACTCCATCAGCGTGTCTGGAATACCTGGGAGGGGCATATGGGGTGGATTGGGAATCTGTCCCCAGCCGGCAAAGTTGCAGAAACGGCCAACGGAAAAAGTCAATCCAGGTTCAGGCAAACAGGCATATTCTATCCGTGGTGCTGTAAATATACGTTAGTATAATGCATTCATTACGCTGTTAGCAAGTTTAGTCAGAAAACGTGTGACAGTCTGAAATTTAATGCAGTGTCGTATAAAAAGCATTTGCATTAGGTTCAACAATTTCACCATAGACAGAAAGTGCAATTCAGTTTTATTAATGGGAAACATAAGAGGATGTCATATTGACTACAAACGGCTAAGAATCGCAAAGGGCTGTTTGCGTAATTGCAGACGAAAAGTGAATAATCATTGTCCGGTCAAACAGGGCAATCATTAAGAACAACTCATTCACTATTAGCACATGTAATTAGTTTATCGTTAGCTTGATACTCGTTGATAAGCGTTCACCCGACCGCTAAAGAAACTCATCTGTTCCGCTTTGCCTTAGGCCTCCACATATACCCTGACAGCCGTAGCAGCTGGTAGTATAGGCAGATTGTATTGCCGTTAGCGGTCGGCTGAACACTTATCAACGACTATCAATATTGTTGACTTAAACTGGCAAGACAACGTCCTCGTGGGTCAATGGTTAGGACATTTGTGTCTGATCAAAAGGGTCACGAGTTCAAGGCTCGGGTGGGACACCACTTGGGTCTGGGTATGACCTGCTGACGACGAATAACAAGGCAGAAATGGACATTCCAGCCCCCCCCGCATATCTTTACCCGGCAATATTATCTGCCTCTATTAGTTAGCCTGGTGTTGCGAAATAGGTAGCTTGACGCATGGGTAGTTTGATCTTATATGAATACACCCAGGTTAAGAGAACCAAATCCTCGAGCAAATCATTCCATTTTACATGCTATTTTACAACTACTGAAAACAGTTTGCGTCTGTGCGTCTAGGCCTATTTTTTGTAATGCACGAATCCACTTAAAAGCACTTCTCTTTTAACAACAGTTAAGTAAATTAACAAAGTGACAGAAAATTAAATTAATTCTTACTGTAAGTGGGAAATACGTGATGTGAAACGATCAAATATTTTGGGTTGAGGGTTACAGTTTCGTCTTAGCTCCTTAGTCAAATTTGGATACAGGTCTTACAAATCTATTTTGTGCCATCCATTTAAAATATTTTATCTTTGGCCCGGCCAGTGACTGTTTTGCTGAAATTTTAATCACACTTCTGAAGTGTATGTACGATTGGTAGTAATAATTTTCAGGTATTCACAACGACAGCTCCAGTGGTAAACAGGGTAAGGCAATATACTTACTGCATGCTGACAGAAACAAGTATTGCAAATTTCGCCAGCCTGGCGCGTTTAAAACATCTTGAGCGTAAACCGTACGATGACCACTATCACAATCCTACTGAGTACAACGAAAATGCAATTGAAAAGTTGGCGTCGCATTTCCCTAAATAGGTTATCCACATAGATAGGGAAATAGAACATTTGCCATTTTAATTGCCCGGGACAGCTACGTTGTGAAACAAATAACACATTTTAAGGTAGATTGCGCAAGTCATGTGCAGCTGAGATCAGACCTACAGCGTTTGACTCTGCGGCTCAATTTCAGTAGTGCGACGTCAAAGCCACTTTGCGCTGCCAAATACGAGAAATGGGGATGGACAATTACGCCTTCCACGCGAACGCTGAATCCTGGACGCTCCCGGCGCTTGTATTTATGGTCTGCCAATCTAACAGCCATATCATACCCCGTGACAGCATGGTAGGAGAAGAGACGACCATATGGGACGGGTTTGCATCCAAGGGCATCAACGATGCAGTGAGCGGCCGTCAAGACCCATCTGGAGGCAATGAGAGTTCCTCCACAAAAGGGATAGGCACCTAGGGCAGCACTGTAGACTCCAACCTATGCAGAGAAAATGACTATTTGGCAAACGTTACAGTAAATGCCATAACCCCTGCAAAGTCGTAATCTAAATTTCAGTTAGTAGGTTATACCTTCATATATTGGAGCTAAGGGTCAGAACGGCATTAAGTAAATAAAATACAGCATCTTTAAGCGTGTATTTTGAATAGAAAAGGGTAGGAATTTGGCAAAAGGGGAAATTGCCAGATCTCCAAGGGATGGCCTAAGCTATTTACTGTCACAGGAAAAACTCACAGCTTTCGGTTTTAATGAGAAAATGCAGTTATTTCGTTTTGGCTATACATGCTAGCATTCACTATCGGAAAAATCAAAAGCTGGTCAAAGTGTCCCAATTTCATACTGACGGTTGGAGTCGCACACAGGCCGGCA